AATAATATAATATCGAAATATAGAAAACAATTGACAGTCGCTTAAACATTAAATCCTATGGATATAACTAAATCTCATTTCAACTTGAAATTATGAATGGAAAGAGAGATAAAAAGCGCTAGAGATAATAAAGATTGTAAAGAGACGTCTCACATAGTGCGTTACTGTGTTTGTCGTATAACCACAAAGTGACGGAAAATATATGAACTTCTTAAATTACTTTCTTTGTCTATGTGGAGAATCTCATTAAAGATGTTTGTTTGTAATACACAAACCACGAAGCGTACAATAACTAATGACACGCTTAGAGTTCATTACAATGTTAATTTCACCTTCGGAAAAACTTAATTTATATTACAAAATATTATTTTTTTAATATAAGTATATTAGGATTACATATCTTATTTATTGATTCTAATTTTTTTATTCACGATATTTGATTTTATTATTTGGTTTTTGTTGAAAAATTTTTTCATATAATCCGTTCAAAATGGTGTATAATTGCAAAGAATCATGCATGATTAGATTTGATTTTAGGGGCAGCTTAAAAGAAGTTGGATAACATTGTGTGACAAACGGATTAGTCCTTCCATTCATTTTCTCTTCTTTCTTGGCCAATGGATTTCTAAGTGGACCAGTTCTCCCAAATGTTTTACGCGAGTGACCATGCGTGTGAGTCCGTTAGTATGGGCATCCTAGTAAAGTCATCCCCTTGGTAACGAAAGGAAGGGAACCGAGAGCTTTCTCGTGTCTCTCTCTCCGATTGTTCCGCGCCCTCGACCAATCTCCTCGGGTTTGTACAGGCAGAGTTTGCCAAACGCGTTTTTCGACCTTCCGCCGTCCCCTTATTGTTCAACCTTAAAAGTAATATCCCTCTACGTAACACGTCCTACCCACATTTCGCTGACATTATTTCTCCCTTGACCAGGAAAACGAAACTTTTCGCTCGATTGTGACATTTAGAGAGACGCTAAACAATCTTTATTAGACGAGAGATGTCTATTTTAATAAATATATTTTTGAACACAGTTTTTAAACAGTTCTGTCAAAAATTTAATATTTAAACATATACGTAATAACGTTTAATATTATAAAAATTAAAAAAATAAATTAAATAGAATTGAACGCAAAATATCATTTTATATTAGCATAAACAAATGCAAGTCTCATAAAATTGAGATATCGAACTTAATTAACAATATATTAAATATAAAGGTCAACAAGCAGATTTAATTTAAATTTGTCGAATTTCCATCAATTATTATGCGTACAACTTCGAGATAATATCTTTTCCACACATTAGGTAACCCATCTCTTCCTACTCAACTTTCATTTCTAACTTCGATAATAAATTCTGTCTCGGAGATTTAAATTCGATAAATTCCTCCAGAGAGTATTTTCACTTTTCTATTTTTAAGCTTTAACATTCAAGCCCCTTATGGTAAATCGAAACTCACAAATACAAATTAAATTTTCTATGTTAAAGAAATCACAACGACCAATTAATTGTAACGTTTGTTTCTTTGCGTGGGCAGTTTCAATTTTTTGACGTTCGTAATATATTTATTCGCTAAATATTGCAGTTAAGATGAAGCATTGCATTGATAAATATTATTGCACATGTGAATAAGTTGAATTTTTTTGAAATTATGAGTTTCAGACAGATAAAGGAGTTTTCTGAAATATCAAGCTGTTTTCTAATTGAATATTTTTTTTATAAAATGGATAATGAACATTTTTAAGTGGTTCGGTAAAGCTAAGTCTTCGAGTGTAAAGGTAGAGCAAAGTAAGATTTCGTTATGGAATGGCGTCGCATTAATGGTTGTACAAGGTAGAGAACTTTATACCTGCCGTGATAGAAACTACTAAAAGCTATATAAAACTCATGGTGACATGACCCGTTATAAAGGACAGTTATTAACCAACAGACCATTTAATTTGCGCTTCCGGTTTTTTTTTGCAGGCTGACATTTTTCCTTTTGGACTTGTAAATAAAAGGCCTCAAAGTGTACGGCGCCGTGGAGAAGACGTTTCACCCGTTCGAGCTGAGCAGCAGGTACGTGTTTTCCAAGTTGTTATATGTAGCTTTACATTATTAGTGTTCATTTATACTATATTTGAAGCAGTATTGAATTATTCATAATTTCGTAAAGACATATTTTAAATATTTTTACCAAACCTTTTATTATACAATTTTTATATAATTCATATAAGAATTATATAAAATGCTTATATTTCATATAAGAAGCAGTACAAATTTTGCAAATAAAGTACGTAATTAATATGTTTAATATTACAGGCTTTCCCGCGTGTTCCCCGGAACACTGCCCGGTATACAAGGTGAGTTACACAACATTAATTATAATTTGTATTTTATAATTTTTATTATATTTGTATTTAAATTATAATTTAGTCTTTTATTTTCCACAATTAATTTGATTAGAATTAAATAGAATATAATATTTTTTTTTTATAATATCTACTATAACATATGCTATATGAAATATTAAATTTGAATAAGTGTATCAAGAATAATATACGGCACTTGGCAATCAGTCGATAACGACAAGCGTACACCAAATATAAAAATATATATAACAAGGCAATGCGTTTTTTTCGCGTCAATGTGTGTAATATGCAGGTTAATTCCTATTAATTTAGTGAATGATCAGCTTCGAAAGCCCGAATGAAAATCTGCCATAAACCTATCCATTTCCTAGGTACGTACTTGCAGTAAACAGAGGATTGTATACAACCGCGTCACACTAAGCCCATAGCTACTAAACCGCGCGCATACTACCTATAAATGGGCGGGCTGCTATAAAGTCCATTCATGATCGCGTCGCCTGTACAACAAACGTCGGGTGGCTCGCACCTCCCGCGCGATTTATTACACTCGTATTCAAGCGCGAGTTGTGTTTCCTACTTAGTACACGTGTACTGACACGATCGCGATTCGAAATCGTCCTATTGTCTGGTTCGCCGCTGACAGACCAATCGACCCCGTTTTCGTCTCGCCGTCATATTAGATTCCATTCATTATATAATCAAGTATATTAAACGTCATAGAAATCTTCATATTTACTAGACACATCTTTTAAAGGCATTTTTGAAAAAAAAACCTAATTGGATATTATAATTGTACATATCTATAGTAAAAAAAGGTATTTAAAGGAGTCATTCTTTTTTGTTTGAATAAAAAAATATTTTAAACTTTATTTTGTTCAGGTTAGATTTAAATCTGGGACATTTAATTTATTTTATTAATACCGAAATAATTTTATTTATAGCAATAACATTTAATTTATTTTATTAATATTGAAAAAGTTTTATTTAAAGCAATAACAAGATTGAATTTGCGCTTCATAACTTTCCAAGTTACATATTTAATTATTTGTTAAATATTATATGTATTATTTTATTTATTATTTAATAATAAATTCTTTTTATAAGTGAAAAGCGATAAGATTTAAATTTATCTAAACTGAAACTTTGTCATGAAAATTTTGGTTAATTTGAAGTCATCGTGGAATTCTTAAAAGACTTTTGCATTTCTGATTACTAATACGTGATCATTAAGACATGATTCTGTCGTTGGTAACACAGTCTGATGGCACACGACATTGATGGACAAACAGATGGAAAGCGTGTGTGCTACTGGAGTTGTTGTCAGACCGTTTTACTTTACTGCCCATAAAAGTACCGAGATTTAGACTGCAATACTGCCATGACGTATTGCTCGCACTGCGTGTACATGCACGTACACACTATCAAAGATGACTGCGGCTGCTGCCAGGCGTGATCCATGAGAGCATTTCACTAACCACGTGACGTTTCGTGGGAAGGAAGATGCGAGAAGTTTGGATGCATTCCTAATGAGTTTCGACAGCTAGTTCGTTAAAAATAGTAATTGAAAATTTATAATTATAACAGCAAATGAAGAAATTGAAAGGAAAGATAAATGTGCGCTTATAGAGTTAAGGAGAGAAGAAGCTGTAATTAAGATAGCACGTAATATAAATATCAGAAAGATTAGTTATGAAGAAGCTTAGCTATCTGAAATGAACAAACCGGTCTCTGATAAATGTAACTATACCTGCGAATGCTAATATATAATGATAACCGTAAAATGAAATCATTAAATATAATTATAACCGTGACCAAATTATAGCTATAAAGATATTAGCAAAACAAGGTCGACTATTATTTATTACTATTATTAGAAAGAAATATTACTAATACAAGAATAGACTCATTAGAGTGTATTACATTCGGAGATAAGAATCCATTACGTATAACTATATTTTTTTAATTTATTATATTTGTAGATATATCAATTATGACTAAAGTAAGTAGATTTTTTTGTAATAAAGTATACAAGAAATTTAATCTTTAAATTTTATTGAAACTTTGATTAAAATTTTGTTACTTTAACATAGACTCAAGTTCCATTATAATTAAAAAAAAATGCTTTATTGACATAATCATATCCTTTTGAATTACAAAACATGAACAAAAAAGGAAAAGAATTTAAATCTCTCAATTCAGTAGTATATTTGTTAGTAGAAGACACTATCAACAGAGAGTATATATATATATATAAAATAGTATCCAGCCAAGTACAATTTTTTGTTAAGTACTGTAAGTGTAACTGCTATCGGTCCGTCGTCTAGTCTTTGTTTGTAATCGTTACATTTTTTTTCTCATTTGCCTGTGCTCTCGAAAAAAAACAACAGTATCGAAATTTGCTGGTTCATAATACTCGTCGAAAGGCAAGAAGAGCAGTCTCTCCGTAAGATAGTTGGTATATCGTGCTTGCTGGCCTGTGATGGTGGAGAAGAGGAAGAAAAGCAGATTAGAGCGCGCGTGGTAGGGGGATGGGGGGAGAACGCCAAGAAACGCGCGAGAGCGAGAAGCGGTCGTGAGAAGAGGGTGGGAGACAACGAGTCCGTCCGGGCTTCGCTTGCCAAACGATCCGAGAGATCGCGCTCGCGTCACTTTTGGCCCGTTCGACTCCAAGTCGCGGGCAGAGCTCTCAGTTGACGCTCAGTTCGGCTCAGCGAGGCCAGCAAGAAGAAAGGGGATTATTCTATATGTGTGTGAGCATCGTGCGTGTGTATATTGGCGCACGATCCTCGAAACTGAAGAAGCGTTCTACTACCTGCCGAGAGTCCTTCCGTTACATTACACTTAATACCAAGGGGTGATTTTACCTGATCTGATTGATTTGAAGATAAAAAAACGAGAGAGATAAAGGGATTCTGCTCTGATCCGGGAACTTCTCCCTCTTCTTAGACGACTTCGTGACGACTTCAAGCTCTAATGTTCGAATTTTCGCCGTTAGTGGGTTTCGTGATTGCATAGATTGCGGACATTCCACGCGCGAGAAAAACGTTTGATGAATCGCGCTCGGAACCCCTTCATAATGATGGGGTTGACAGTATTCGCTGATGATAGAGACGGGGCGACGTGTGGCTCGTATATGGTAGACCACTGGACGATCATAGCGCAGTTAGTCGCGCAGTGAATTAGCCTAACGAAGATCGACGGATTGCCAAGTGTCATAGCTGGTGCTCGCATTAAATTGCTCACTAGTTTTATAACGTTTCCCTCTTTAACGCGTGGCGATCGAGCGCAATCGCCTCACCGGAGTTATCGCGGTCCGAACGATGCACTAAATCGCGCTGTGTCATTTTGTTTTCGTTTCAACCCTCATCCTGCATCGTTGGATCGACCGATTGGACGACCGCATAATAATCTGGACAAATTATCAATCGACTCTACGATTGACGACGTTTACACGTGGGGACGTTTACTCACTGCTGTCACATCGATTATCTTACCCGACTTCGTCAACATCGTCATCATCGTCGTGGACGATTCTCATCGCCGCGTGTGGACCTCTCGTCCGCGGATTTGCCAAGCACTTTATCGCGCCCCCGTCTATCCTTCGCGCTGCCCCGTGCCTCTCTTCGCTTCTCTATTCCACGTTTATCTACCCCTCCACCTGTCTGCTGCGGCGCTGCACACCCTCTCTCCCGCCACCAACCCCGTCATCGGACGACGCGCGTACCCGCACGATTTTCCCTATCCCCACCCGCCTTCGCTCACTCCTCGCGCCTCTGCTACCTTCTGCACGCGCTTTCTTTATTTACTCCGTGAATTCACGGACAACACGACCGGCTCGATCACGATGAGCGCTCCGTTCCTCGATCCTCGGTGAAAATCCTCCTCCATCACGCGCACGTTTGTCGTGTTTTCTACTACTGGATCTATTATTCGCGGTCTACGCTACGTTTTTCGTTCGATCGGTGTTCCGCGAATACTGGGACAATCGCTAATCTACATACCCGCTTTGCTCATCACTACATTGTTATCACGATGACCATGCGACAACTTTCACATTTTGGGTGAACTCTGGTCCGATTTGTGCTGACTTATCGCGCGTAATTCGTGATTTAACTAAACTCATACGGCGGTCACGGGACCATCACCTACATCAATCGACGCGGACGTCGGCATAAATATTATTATAACATCGGCAATAAACCGTCATCATCTGCACCATCGCCGATCACGTGGCTTGCTCGACGGCGACGCTGTACGATAATGTTCACGCCGCGCCGCTATGTGGCTCCGGCGTGGGCCACCCTGGCTCGGTCACGTCGATGGGAACAGCAACCGGAGCGGGGAATTCCACCGGGGTGACCTGGTGGGCCATGATGAACGGTTCCCTCTACGAGGACAGTCCGCCGCCAGTTCCACCAACAGCTTCGACCCTCGTATCGATTCAACAACAAACAACCTCGACACCGGGCTCTCATCAAGCGACAACACCGACTTCACCTGGTGCACCGGTATCATCGGCAACGACAGCGCCACCGGCGGCTACAGCAAGCGCCAGTTCAACCTCGCCAAGCGCTTCTTCGGTAGCGAGCAACAGTGCAGCTGGACCACTTCATATACCAGCCAAGAGATTAACAGCGACACCAGGAGGTGGTGGTACCACTTACGGAGAAGTAGCTTGCGTGGAATCATCAGGCGCGCCAGGTGGTGCGGGCGCAGCAGGCGTGATACGGCACTCTCATTCAGCGGGCTCCCAAGGCGGCTGGAGTTACAGTCCGCATCATCCCCAGGATTCCCACTACTCGTCCACGGCGGGCGAATCGTTGAACCATCATCAGACTTACGGGGGTAACAATCCCCCCACGTACTACAACCTGGCGGCCGATCCCACCTCGACCTCCGGTTCCTCCAGGGACAACCGGAAGGCCGGGCTTTTCTGGTCACCCGCAGCCGCTACCGCTGGATCTGCCAGTACCGCTGGATCTACCTCGGATTACAAGTCCTACAACTCAGCCGGCGCGGCAACTACGACGTCGACTACCGGTGGATCCACCACCGGAGCTACCGGCGCCGCCGATCCGGCCGTGTCGTCCTGCCATCAGAGCTTCTCTCAGAGTTGGTGCAATTATGCGCCATACACGACAGCAAGGCATCACCATCCGGTCGACACGGCTGGACATCATCATCCTCATTCGCAGGCGGGAGTACCGTATCTGGCGCCATCCGCGGCGGATGACCGCGGTAGAGTCGCTGCCGCTATGGTCGCTGCGGAAGGTGCCTTTCCTCATGATGGATACGGCGGCCTGAGAAACTATGGAGCGCCCGAACCTGTTACTTCGAGTCCCTACCCACCTCCAGGTAAGCATCTACTCCGATTTACCAATTCTTTTTATTTTTTTCGTTTTTAACAATTGCTCTCGAATCTCTTTTAAGTTTATATATATAACAAAAAAATATAACATTTTTATTTAATAATGACACACATTATTTTCGCAGAAAAATTTTCACTGTTGACATTTATATATGTTATATGTGTTTTGAATAATCGGACAACAATGTGGAAGAGAAATTGATTTATTAGAATCTTTTTTTTCTACTGTTTTTGTAATATGGTAAACTATTGTCAACACTTCTATACAAAGATATGTTTGTAAACTTCAGGTAGTTTTCCGTTTTCACAGGAAGTAATCATAAATCGATTATAATATTCCTCGAACGTCACGTTAAGAAAGTCCATTGAAATCAATAAACATATGAAATCAAAATAGTTAGTTCCTTAACAGCTTGACAACTGAACGAAGATGTTGCGAGGAAAGACATATGTAACATGCTACGACAAAAGGATTGCCTGTAATTTACATTAATTGCACGTGACTTCCTAAAACGGGCGTCTCGGGTATTCCTGGACGATCCTGACGAACTTATTCGACAAGTAAAGACCACAGTCATCGTTCATTCACATCGTTCTCTTTTGTGCTTCCTCCCTTCTCTGTCCTTTTCTCGGGACCCTGCAACCCATGAAACGTCGCATGAGCAACAACGAACGGCGGCGGGTTTATTGGCGGCCGTAACTCGTAAACTCTGGCGCGCGCCTCCGATCAGCTGATCCGTTCCATGACCCGTGCAGGCGTTCAGTCTTTCCGGCTAACGGCTGTTTCGCGCGCTTATATTGTCGCGACTGTCTCCCCATTATTTTACTTTGGAACGATAATTTTTTTCACATCGACTAAAGTTTCCCTTCAGAAAGATTAGTATTCTCGATACGCTGTGCTGCTTGGCAATGTTCTTTCCGCAGGAAAATACTTGTAACCATTACGAACGCTTAGAATAAAAGATACCTTTTAGCAAACATTAAATATATACTTTGTAAAATGAGTCATTAATCTTCTTATTTTTTAACATTTGTTCGGAATACTTATTACGGTATATAAATCACTGTGATAATAAAATACTTTGCAGAAGTGACATTAATTTATAGATACGCGTCTTTTATTACGATACAATCGATATATCACAGATTGTAAATTATATTCAACATAATTATATCGCGACGGCAATGTCAGCTTTTCATTCGTGTAGAAATATTTGAATTTCATATCAAGCGTATAAAGAGAAGGTGCGTCTCAATCGATCGTTGGCGTTCGTTCGTCGTGTCCTTCTGAAAAAGCTTCTACGCTCGTTGTTGAAATTTATCGTTACTTTGTTGCTCGTGCGAGCGCCATTGACGGCACTTTGATAACCGAGATAACATTCGCGTAATCAGCCGCGAGCTAATCGTAAGCGCACGGAAGGTAGATGTGTGTGTGTGTGTGTGTGTGTGTGTGCGTGCAATGCAAGCGTGCCGTACATACGAAATAGTGAAACGCGGGCGCGCACCCGGCGTATAGTTTAAGCGTAGCCCAATAGATGGCGGGTCCATTATCTTTGCTCGTTCGCTCGAAGACCAGAGTGTGTGCCGCTTCCACTGTATCGCGTCGAACCATCCCATATTAGTCCAGGTAATCTCCGAGGAATCACAATGTCGGCCAGATGTCCCCGGTACAAGTCGATCTCTTCCGTGAGATTATCTCCGCTTTATCGAAAGAACACGGCTCTCCAAGCTGACTGTCAGTCCGCATTTATTACCGCGGATTCGTATCCACGCTTAATTAAGCCTTTGAGGCGTACCGGTCATCATTATGCGCACTTACATCATGGGCCAGAATAAATTTAACATAAAGTATGGCTTTATCAAGTCCATCGGTTTTACTATGAAATAAAGTATTCTATCCGTTTTGTACGAAAAATTTAAATGGAAGTTTACAATTTATTTGCTAATTTTTATTTAAAAGAATATATGTATATATATTCTTATGTATTTACTTAACATTTTAATTCGTTGAAATAAAATTATGTCATTGAATAAAAAGTTACTTAGGAATACGATAATTGTTTGATAGCCCTATTCTCTTAAATATTTAAAAATTAAGTTGTATAATTAATAAAGCATTTCCATTGCTCAGTATTTACAATACAATATTGAATTTATAGATCACATTTTAAAAAATATTAAAATATTTATCTATTTCTTGATTTATATACTTAATTTGTATATTTTAACTCACATAAATTAATATCAAAAATATAGAATAGATATGGAAAATGTCGCGAATACTCTCAATCGATATTACACTCCACGTCCCAGACCCTTATGGACCCTTTGACTTTTTCTATCAGAAATCAGGTATCAATTCGAGAAACTTGCTACAATTTCTGATCAATCACAGATATTTTTCGATCTCCCTATATTATACGAATCTTATTTTTTATTCTTTTTATTGACTATATGACTTTGTTTTAATTTTTTATATCTTTTAGAATATATATATTGTTTTTTTATAACTCTAGGTAAATAATATCTTTTGATTTTTTAATATTTTATGAACTACATATAATAAATATTTTAAAAAACTTTTTAATATCTGACTCATATTTGATTAGATGAATATAAGATTGATTTAAGAAATGCTTGATTCATTATGCAATTGTCATAGAGTAAAAGACCATATTACTGACAGTGTATACATTACTGTCAATCAAAATTAAAATGCATTTTGAGGTGGAAAAAGTATATCTTACATTGTTTTATTAATTTTTAATAGAATTTGTAATATATCTAATTATTATTACAACAGTTAACTGAAAATGAAAATCAATCCTTTAATTACAAATAAAACTTAAAGTTCGAGAAACGCATTTTTCTGCTGAATTAGTCCATTTTTATTAGTGAAGTGGATAATAAGTAGTTGCAAAGATGAGCGATTGTACGAAAATTTGTAAGTCAAACGAAAACTCATTTTTCTGATGAAATAATGTTGAAATAAAAAGAAAAAAATTAAATATTGAATAAATTTATTAATTTGTATAATGTATTCATTAATGCCAGTAATATATTCACTTTTTTGTATTTTTCCTAATACTGTCAACAGTATTATAGTCATCAATCACGAAGTGAGCATAATACTGGCGTCTCGTAAAGACAAATAATACAACCTCAATGTGTCAATGTCGACGTGTGTCGTATGTGTCTTTAGGTACCCAAGACTCAAGTTTGCTTGAATCATCGAATATTTTCGAAGGTATTATTATTGTAACACACTATTATTCCAATACTAAATACGATAGATATTCTAATACATCGGATATTATTCTCAAAATATTATTCTTAGATATTATTCTCAAAATTAAAATTATTAAAAAAAAAATAAAAAG